ACCTTCACACGCCACCGCTGCCCTTGTTTGTGGCCCCCCAATGGCCGGTAGCGTACCACAACCCTCACCCCCGAAGCCCGTACCCGCCCCCTTTTCGCCCCACCCCCCCCACCCCCACCCCTCACAGCCACACCCTCGCCGCCACCACCTTTCGCAGCGCCGCCTTCCCTACTGCCGCCCTCATCACCGCCATCGCCACTGCCGCTCTCGCCGCCGCCCTAACCCCCTTCCTGCGCTGCCCCCTTCCATCCCGACCCCGCCGCCGCCCTCCCCTCCTCCGCCGTCCGGCATGCGCCGCCGCTCCCGCGCCTCCAGCCGCCCAACCGCCGAACCTGTCTCCGCCGCCACCCTCCCCACCACCGCGCCCTCGTCTCTATGGACTAAGCGGGCCGACCCTCTCACAGCTCACAGCTCACACAGGAAGGTAGGGGTGTACGTTTGCATGGAAGCAAGACACGACAAGTACACGATATTTACTCGTTTCGCATTCGGCACACGCCCGCACGCACTGGCACAACGCCCGCATGTCTGTAGAGAGAGATTGTGTGAGAGAGATTGTGTTTTGTCGAACGAAGGTGAAGAACAGCCAGGCTCGGAGTGGACACCAGCGCGCGGTTAGCTGTAGGTGGACGCAAGTGGCAAGACAGGAGATGACGCGCACGCTGGAGCGACACACAGACACAAACTCACAAGAGATACTCAGCCAGCTTGGATCAAGCTGAGGAGAAGAGACGGCGGCACTGCCGCAGCAGAGCCGCTGCCGAGGAAGCATAGGAGGGGGAGGCGGGCCCCGCGATCGTGGCATGACCAGCGGAAAGCGATCAGGGGGGGGCGATACCGAGTGGGAGTGTGCGTCGTATGTATGTCTGGTGTCTAGTAGCTCCGAGTAGAGGGGGCGTTCTGCTGCTTGGGGAAACCCAAAGAAGAAGGAGCAGCTGCCTCGATGTACGAAGACCCGTTTTTACTCTCTCTCCTGTTTGTTACTTCCCTGCGACCGCGCACCCTCCCCCAGGGCTAGGGCTCTCTAGCCCGTATGTAGCCCGATGCCGATCATGCTTTTCTTTTCACCTTGGGTCACATGAAATGAAGTTTTGACCGCAGCGAATATGTTCACACCCGAGCGGAGGCCAATTGATTCGCGAGGCTCTGGCAAAAGTGCGGTTGGCAACGGGCTCTTGTCCGTGCAAGCCTTCAGCTGGTGCCAAAACGTACCAAAACGTCCTCTCCGCGACCAAATACGCGGTCGTCGGTAGAAATGGCTTGCTTGCAAGAATGGGATGCCGACAGGCGTCAGGCGGCGCATGCCGAGAAGTCGCTTGCCGTGCGGGAGCTCGTGCGCCTCTCCCTGCGCGTGCAGTCCACGGGCGTCGTCGCGGAGCTTCATCTCGACACGGCACTGGTTGCTACGAGCGGCAGCGGAGCTGATCACGAGCGACGAATTCGCAGGGGATGCCAGGCAACAGATGGGCGCGCAGATAATTGGCGTGGCGTCCTAAACAACGCACGAGCATGCTCAACTGCTGCAGCTGATCACGAGCGACGAATTCGCAGGGGATGCCAGGCAACAGATGGGCGCGCAGATAATTGGCGTGGCGTCCTAAACAACGCACGAGCATGCTCAACTGCTGCGCGACGCTCTCTGCGACCCCGACTTTCTTTATGCGCTTTGCCATTCGCCGCCGCATTTCCTAAAGCGACACTAGCACTAGATGCGTCCTGGCATCGGGAGGGTCCGCCTAAGAGGAAGTATGCATGTACTTTGTGCGTGGAGTGTCTTCCCCTTTTGCGCAGCAATACCTTAAACTTTTAGGCCCTCCAAATTCGGGTCGGAGCGTAGCGGAGTGGGCCCCGAGTTTGAAAAGGGCGACGGACGCTTGCGTCCTAGCCTCCAACAACGCCTCCCCGGCGCAGAGGGGCCCCCGGAGGGATGCACAACCGCTCCACGCCACGCCGCTCGCGGCGGTCCTATTCCCAGCTCCGCTGAGGGCCCAGACGTTATTTAGATTCTAAAAAAAAAAGAGAGAGGCAGCTTCGCGCCCGGAGAACCCTCTCCAAGCCCTCGGTGCCTCCGTTAGCTATCCCGGCGTGCAGCCACCCCTCTGCGCGCGCCGTGCACGCCCCGCCGCCCCCACGGGACTTTACCTTCCCTCTCCTCTCCACCCGCGCCTCCGCAATGCCCACGATCTTCCGCCCACCGCCGCCCAGGTCCTCCGATGTGCGGCATCGTCGGCGTTTTGTGCGCGGATGACAGCTCGGCTGTTGGCCCTCTCTATGAGGCCCTGCTAGCGCTGCAGCACCGCGGGCAGGACGCCGCGGGCATCATCACCGAGGACGCGGGCCGCTTCTGCCTCCACAAGGACAACGGCATGGTCCGCGACGTCTTCGGGCCGGCGCAGCTCACCAACCTGCGCGGCTCGATCGGCATCGGCCACGTGCGCTACCCGACGGCGGGTTCGTCGTCGTGCGCCGAGGCGCAGCCCTTCTACGTCAACTCGCCGTACGGCATCACGCTCGCCCACAACGGCAACCTCGTCGACCTGCCCACCCTCAAGCGCGACCTCGAGCGCGAGTTCCGGCACCTCAACACGGGCTCCGACTCGGAGGTGCTGCTCAACCTGCTGGCAATCGAGCTCTTCTCCAACCTGAGCAGCCCGTCGCACGAGGGCACGCGCTCCGTCTCGCCCTCCTCCGGCGCCGGCGCTGCGCCCGCGCCGGACTGCGTCGACGCCGCCGGCCGCAAGCTCGAGAGCCTGTCCGCCTTTGACGGAAAGGGGCCGACCGACGCGCAGGTCATCCTCGCGGTGAATGAGCTGCTGCGCCGCTGCTCGGGCGGGTACGCGTGCGTCTCGATGATCATCGGCTACGGCCTCCTCGCCTTCCGCGACCCGCACGGCATCCGCCCCCTCTCGTACGGCCGCCGCCTCGCCGAGGGCAGCACCGAGCACGAGTACATGGTCGCTTCGGAGAGCGGCGCCCTCAACGCGCTTGGCTTCGAGCTGCTCGGCGACGTGCGCGCCCCGCGCCGCCCTCCGCCGCGCCGTCGCGAGCCGCGCCGCCGACCTCCCCCCCCCCCTCCCCCCCCCCTCCCCACAGGTTCCGCCGGGCCACCTGCTGCTGCTCCGGCGCGGCAAGGAGCCTCGCATGCACAACTGCTTCGCCTCGGCCGCGGCGCCGCTGGCGCACGCGCCGTGTTCTTCGAGTACGTCTACTTCGCCCGCCCCGACTCGGTGATCGACG